GGGAAAAAAATGTTTTTCAGGTATAAAGAGTGTAACTGCAGCATTTTAGTGTGGGTAAAATTATGAAAATGAAAAAGAAAATTGCATAATAATGAACAATATGCATAAGAAATGCATGCATGGGGAAGTAACTTGTGAAATGACTAACTATAAAATCCACATATTTCAAGTTTTTCTCCAAATTAAAACAGCTACCACATGGACAGCGATTTCCCTCCATGAAGGAGGCTCTTTCAGTAGTTATCCTAGCTATTCAAAGATTGAATAAAACTAATATCTCAGGAGGAATAGCAAATCTTCCAAGACAATGGATCACGACTGTTATTGTAAAGAAAAGTATTTACAAAGAACATAAGCAGGAAGAATCTGAAATAAAATTAACCAGAGGAAAAGCGTTCGAGAGCATTAATTTTAAATTGCCCTCATATAAGTATATTATGTGCTATCCTGATGTCCATTATCTGCTCTGAAGGTAACATGACTGTGATAGTAATGAACAGAAATAGAATTATTTGCAATTCTGCTTCTTATTCTGACGATAAACTTACGGCAGAAAGCTTGGAATCTATTAAATTGTTACATGCATAATATACTTTAAGAAAGCAAATTAGTAATTAATAAAAAAAAAGGTCATTGTATTATTATTATTATTATTATTATTATTTTTCAAATTGCAGTTATGTGTTGAAAATTAAACTACTGTTTATTGAGAGCAAGTCTCATTTAAAGTGCCAAAGAACCACAAGGTTTCGAGCTGCAGGTAAGATGTGGGAGAGGCGCATGCAGCTTGCAAGTCTTAGTTTGGCCATTCCTGTTATAAACAGTTAGGATTAATGCACTGATGCATTCATCAGAACTGAACAATACCCATTGTTATTTAGCTGTCACAATATCAAGAACATTGCCAAGGAGGCAATTGGATGATGTGCTTTAGAAAAGGGAAATTCTATTAGTGTTGACAGCAAGAGAAAGATCTCCCGCCTCTTTTTTCCTGTCACCAAACCTCTTAAGAAGAATTTTGAGCTCGCAGTATTTTATAGAGCCATTCAGACTGTGGTTTATCTGAACTAACGGAGTCATCTGACATAGTCAACCCATCTCCAAAACCAATTTTTCCCCATAGGGCAGCGAGTTGAAAACTCTGAACTGTAGGTATAGCGAAGCTAATTGACACATTGAACTGACTCTGCTAGCTCAGATAAGCTCCAACGTGAATGGCTCTAAAGTGTACACATGCCACACAATCAGAGAGCAACATATAAACTTGGATTCGATTCCGGTTTGAATGATTTCGAATCTATTTATTGAAGAAACATGAAAAACTATGAAATAATTTCTTTAAAAGCTGAGAGTAAGACATAGTAGACTGATATGCACATAGCATCCCCCCTCCCTGTTTTCCATTTCTTCAGACATATTTGGAAGTATGACTATAGCTCTCTCTCTCGTAGGAATCTCATTTTTTAACCCCTTAATTTTTATGCCTGTAATGATTTGCCCGTACAGAGCGCAGGCAAGCTGATTTCTCTGTCGTTTTCACTATTTTGGCTGTATTTTTTCTATTTTTAATGCCAAATTAGTCATATAGATGGTGGTAGTTGTCCACAAAATGTTAGTTTGCGAAGTGTATTCTGTTTGGTCTGAAAGCACGGGCTTTTTCATAAGCTTTGCATTACACCATGGGTTTTTGTCTTTGTGTGTTTAGCTTTAATATGTATTTTACACAAGTATTGTAACCTATCTTTATCATAAAATAGTGGATGATTCAGAAGGTATGGAGCCAATTTTTTGTGATTTGGAAGCAGAATCTGAAATATCTGCAAATGAGTCTGAAAGTAGTGAAAGTTTTCTATATGACTGCGACACTAGTGTCTGATAGTAGTACAGATGGTCTCAGCCAAGCAAGCAATATTTTAAAATTAATTCTAATAATTCACCCTATCCACCTCCTAGATTTGCTTTCATTGGAAATCCAAAAATTTACTTGAATATTGATATAGCTAATGGTAAACTTCAGTTTTATGAAGCTTTCATGGATGATTATTTGCTAGACCTGATTGTTTTGGAAGCAAATAGATATGCTGAGCAGTGCATGCAAAATAGTGTATTTAGTAGACATTCTAGAAGAAAAAAATGGGAACTAACATCGAAAGATGAAATACTGCTATTTTTTGCTTTGATTATTCTGCAAGGTATTATAAAAAAGCCAGTAGTCGAGCAATATTGGAGCAAAAGGCATTCTACATCTACACTGTTTTTCCCAAAGTAATGTCATATTGTCGTTTCCAGTTAATTCATAGTTATTTACATTTTTCAGATAATGAAAAATTTGGTATTAATTCTCATGAGTGCCCAAAATTAGTTAAAAGACATAGTCAGTCTAAAGTCAGGTGCTAAAACATTTGAAAACTAGATTCCAAGAAGTCGTTACCCCTGAACGAGATGTCACCATAGACTTAGAGACACCATAGAGTCTTATGTTATTCAGAAGAAGACTAAGTTGGAAACAGTATATCTCACTAAAACAACTGTGGTTTGGAATAAAAATGTACATACTTTGTAAATCAAAGACTGGATATGTATGGTCTATGTTAATTTACACAGGAAAAGGAACTGTATTTGATGACAGTAACAAATATTTGAGCAAATTGTTGTAGGTTGTAATGACACTAATGCAACCACTTTTACATAAAGGATACTGTCTAACAACAGATAACTTTTATTCATCGCCTGAAATAGCAGATGTCCTCATTAGTTGCTGCACAGATATGTATGAAACATTAAAACTTCAGAGAAAGGAAGTTCCTAAAGCACTGTTGAATGAAAAACTTCAAAAATTGCAAATAGTCACTCAGCAGAGCGGAAAAGTGTGCATTATGAAATAAATGGAAATGGAGCCGTGTCTCTTATATCTATAGTACGTAATCCAGAAATGGTTCAAGTACCCATGTACAAGAATGATATAAAATGAAAACCAAGGGTAGTTATAGAGTACAGCAACACAATAGGTAGTGTAGATCAAATGGACCAGAACCTAAATACTTATCCTATGATAAAAAAAAGGTTCAAAAATACTATAAAAATACTTTTTCATCTTCTAGACATCATTTATGGAACGCTTATGTGTTGTACAAGAAGCATGGCGATAAAGATACAAATTTACAGTTTTGATTAGATATTATCGACCGCCTAGTTGAAAGCTATGAAGCAATAGAAGAAAGAAAAGGTCGATCTGGAAATTTATCAATTCCACTAAGACTGAGAGACAGAGAGACATTTTTCAAAGGTAATTCTACCTACAGGGAAAAAAAAAACTAAGACCTGCAAGACAGTGCTATGTGTGTTCACTGAAAAAAAATGACAACAGCAAGAGAATTAGAAAAGAGATTAGGTATTTTTGTCCGGACTGTGATGTTAGACTATGCCTCTTGCCTTGTTTCAAGATGTATCACACTAAATCAGATCTTTAAAAAACAGCGTAAGTAAATGTAGTTGTAGTATTTGTAATTGAAAATGATTATATAGTAATTGTAATCGGAAATAATTGCGTAGTAATTGTATTTTTTATATATGCGCAACTGTAAGTTTAACTTCCCTGTGAGGCAACAATGAGAGAGAAAAGACAACTTCCAGGGAAAACATTTTTATTGTATATCCTGTAAAAAAGTTGTTATAAATGCTTAAAATAATTATAAATATTACTTTTAATAACATTTTCTAGCTTACAAATGTAAAATGAACAACGATATGCAATAAAAAAATGTGACATTATTTGGTTCGAATTCATGAAAAAAATGAAACTGTTAAGAGGTTAAGCATAGTGGGGGACCACATATTGCAGTTTTTGTCATCTTTGAAGTCTTGGATTTCCTTTCTATATGCATAGAAAGAGCATAATGTGGTCCTCTTAAAAGCGTCATGCACCTCTTTTTTTCCTTCTTATTTTAAAATTTTAGTTCTGAGGTTGTGTGACTGGTTTTCTGATTGTGTTTTAGTAGAAACAATTTGCTGTGTACATAGGGAAAGCAACAGCCCCAAAATGTGGAAATGTGCATGTATGGAAAAATAAAATTGTAAAAAAAATAGGTAACAGTGGGTGCATGGTTGAAATCAATGTAAAGAAATTCAAACAAATGTTTTTCTCCAAAATTGAATACCAGTTCACAAATGTTCTCCCAAGTCAGACTTTGTGATAAACGTTACCCCTACTAGAAAAATCACAAACAAGCAACTTTGGAGAACATTCATGAATTTTGTTGGGGACTAATTTTTCACCAAGTCAATGCTTTAAATACAACAGTCATTTTCATAGTTGCGGCATATTAAAAAATCTGTACGTGAGCAAACAGTCAAAATAAAGAAGCATCAGTAATAAAATAAATTTTTTGAGAAATCCTTCCTTTTTCACTCTTTTTCCCATGTACTCAGCAATCTGATTCTGCTTAAAAATGCACTAGAATTGCAAAAATTCAGCATCCATACAACTTTGGCAATGCACAACATCCAAAATAGGCATGCATTATGTGCATACCTGGGCTGTCACATAAATACCTTTTGGCAATGTAATGGGTTTCCACATAACTATTTTAGCGACACATTGCTTTGCCCTAAGAATACTTTTTCGTTATTTAATCAGCAGGGTTGTGGATAGTTAGAAAGTATCAAAAAGTCATTACTTATTTGAAAAAGGAGCTCAAAATCTTGGAAGAAAATTTCCTGTATTGACAATCATGTTCTTGCCTAGCTACTAAGAGGTGAAATAAGCAGATCACCACATTTGGCACTTGGCGTGTAATTTTTGCCTGTTAATTAGAAAGTTTTGCAAAGTTTGCAATTAGTTGTCTCAAAAATGTGTATTTTTAAAACATAGGATCTTCAGTTGAGATTTAGTTGTCTTATTGCTCTATGTCGGTAGATTTTTTGTGATGAAAATTCTTTATTCTGATAAAATAGTAAATAATTTATTTAGTATGTATTTTTCTTTTGCAAATATTTATTAGATGCTCGATGAAAATACTCAGCTGATTCAGGCTATTGTGGATTATCAAAATAAAGGAAAAGCTGTTGAATGTCATCAGTGAGTATTTTGCCTTGTAATTTTTGAGTTCAATTGTCTTTTATAATTTTCCTTTTCTGATTTGATCTATTTTATGGGAACTAAAATCTGTTTATTTCAATCTAATCTAATTTAGCTGCCATATTTTTAATGAATTATTTTTATTACATATTTTCTTGGAAATGAATTTGGTATTGAATTCCCATCAAAAAGGAATTTGCTGAAAAATTGTTATCATATCTTCTTGAAATACACATTAAGTATGTTCTATACGTTTTGAGATCTATACATAATAATGCAATGCAGATTAAACTCTTCATTGTTTTAGGTACCAAAAGCCAAATTTTTAATTGTGTAAATAAATATGCATATTTTTTATTTAAAAAAGAAAAAGGGGGCTAGATTTTGGACAATATGAGCAGATTATGTTAAATTATCTTAAGCAAAAGCATAATTGTTCTTTAAATATGATTTCTTAAGGTGCAAAATAAATTAAGAAATTTTTTACCTTGACCTTTTCATGTGGGCTGTAGAGTCTAAATTTTTATATATTAAAACCATTTAATCTTCTATACAGTTAGAAAAGAATAAAAAACAAAACAGCAGGATCATTTCCTCTGCCGTGTGTTAAATAGCAAATTCTAGTCTCCGTATTTAATTTATTTTTAACCTTATTTAATATGGTGGATATGTGAGACTTAATATCCCACAAAGAAATCTGCCCAAAGTGTAAATGAAATAGAACATGAAACAAAAATTTATAGATTTTTCTAAGTTTTTGTTAGTATATGTGTCCTTAAAGATAGTAGAAATATTTAAACAAACTGAAATATATTCTGAATAAATTCAGGTGTGTATGATACAGTACTTGTTGGTTGTTCCACCTTGACAGGAAATGGATATTGATGTATTTCAGCCTTTTGCCAAGAAATACACAATTACTTATAAACACACCTAGTTTGTTCAGGTATCTACAGTGTACAGTTTATTTATTGTATATGTACAGAAGCAACTTTATTTGTATTTCTCATTTTATTCAATACAATTTTGTAAACAGTTTTTTGAAATAAACAACATACAAAAACTTGAAATTACAACAGCTTGCAAAACAAGTTGTAGAACATCTTGAATACATGTAGCATATAGAAATATATCTAAAAGGCCACTTCTTGGTGGTCACAATATGGTTTCTTTTTCATCATACAATTGTATCAAATTCAAAAAGAAACATGTTGGTGTAAAATTTTAAATTAAATGAAACAGCAACCTTATTTGGACATAAAAAAAAAAAAAAAAAAAGCACTTTCTGATAATCTGCACTTTTAAAAAGTCGTGAAAATTAGCAACTAATTTTTCACCAAGCTAACATACAGAAGGAAAAGCCATTTTCAAAATAGTGCTGCATTGAGAATTACATTAAAGAGCAAAGAGTTACTAAAATTTAAAAAGCAAGAAACATTGGTAATAAAATATGTAGCCTTTTAACCGCTTGCCTGATTATCCCGAGTTATCTTGGGTTCGTATATATTGCAGTTAATTATTATCCCGAGAAAACTCGGGTGAAGCAGAATTTGTTAGTATGATTTCTTTTATTACGGTTTTACTCGGTCTGGAGGAAATGAAAGGAAATATTCAGCTTTGATTGGCAGTTTGCCAAATTTTGTTGGTTGCACGGTTCTTTTGGAGGGATTGGTTGCGTGTTTCAATATTGTATAGTATACGTTGGCTTGTGGATTAGTAATGTATAAAGAAGGATGCATGTTTTGGGAAAAAAATAAAATAATGTTGATGATGCAAGATAGCGAAAGCGATGATTTTTCAGATAGTGAATTATGAAGAGGTGGGGGGGGGGATCAAATCCAACGAGACATGCTGTACTCTGTGCTCCCTGTGAAAGAGATTTCCAGCGGTAAGCCAGTAAGAAAAAGAGACCAGATACCAGTGTAGAATGTCAGGTATCACTCTGTGTTGTGCCTTGTTTTCAAAAACAATCATACAAAGATTAATATTTAACTTTTTTTGTTTGCCCGAGATAACTCGGGATAGTAAACTAATATTAAAATAAATGCTTTTACACCTTCAAAAAATTAAAAATTCAACTTAAAACATACATATTTTGATTTGTTTCGTTTTGTTGTATTTAATAATAAAATAAAAAAAATGTGATGATTTTTTGCAATTTAAAAAAAAAAAAATTGTTAGGGAAGCGGTTAAGAAATCCCTTTTTTTGTGTGTTGTTTTTCTTCTTATATGTAGAGAAATTTGTTTTCGCATTAAAAAAATCAGAGAATTTCAGAAATTTACATCATGCAACATTCACATTGTGCACCAGCCAAAACAGACATGTGTTATGCACATACCTGGGTTGCCACACATAAGTTTTCTGGAAATTGGAATGGCACATAACTATTTGAGCAAAATATTGTTTTGTCTTGTGAATACTTTTTCATGACTTTATGTGAATTACCACAAATACTTTTTGTGAATTACCTTAAATATACTACTCATGCAAGTGCTCTTGGCGGAAAAAAATGCAGTACTATGTTTTTCAGTGGACTATTTGACTGCTAACTTTTGATCTGGACATATGATTTGTCATACCAAATACATGCCATACAAAAACATATTGTACAGGCAGCTAGTAAAAAATAAATGTAATTGCTAATAACAGGTATATAATAAGTATTTTCCTCACTAAAAGACTAAAGTAAACGTCTCAAAAATACATTTTTTGGGGGGGGTACTTATCTACCATTCCCAATAGAGTCGTTGATGACCAAGAGGTTGATATCCGAATACACCGTCAATTCATTTACGTAATTTAAATCACTTTGATTATTAAAAGTTGATAAATAATATTGATAATTAATTGTTTATTGATATAAAGTTAAGCAAAGTTTTATTTAAACACATGACTACAGTGAGTTTCAGAATTTAAGTGTTCCTAGAGAAATATCCCAAAATAAAAGTTGTTACTTAGCCAACATTATTGATTTCCTCTCTTCGTGCGTACTAGAAGCAGGCTTTGTCAAATCAATAATTTAATATGGAAAAGGAAAAGCAGGTTGAATGTTTTTGAAAGAGGTGCTTTAACCCTTTCTGGCACGCAACCTTTTAAAGATGAAATTTTGATAAAAAAAAAGGTAGGCAGTTTAATTAGGCCTAGAGGAGTACACAAGTAAAATTTTGTAAAGTTAGCACTTATCGTTTTAATTCTGTGGGTGTGCCTGCTTCAGGCCACTGATTAAATAGAGCTTCGAAAAGAGTTCTGAAACAAGCATTGATGGGAAGAGCGTAAATGAGTAAGAGATTTTGCCTATGATTAAAAAAACACTAGATTCTGTATACCATAGCAGATTTAGCATTACCCAGTATGTGCCATGGGGAGATCTGCTACTCTACCATCCCCTAAAAAGCTCATTTTTGGTTATATAATGATTAAATGTTAAATGCTTATGAATGAAAAAAAAGTAACATGGGTATATAATATTTACATTACTTACATTTCATATTTACACTGTAGTCTATTTTTTTCATCGTGGTACTTTTCGAAGAAAGTGACACCACCTTTGAAAAAAGCACAACCCAATACTGTATGTTTTGCATGTGTGCTGCGATACGTATCAGATTCACTATCTTAAAGCAATTAGAAATGGTCAGCCTTCTCTGATCCATTCAGAAAATAATTAAAAATCTGAAAAAAGAATAAACTAATAATTATATCTACAATTTGAAATTATAAACTATAAAATAAAAATATAAATGTCTACAACTCCAAAACTGTTAAACGTAGCACTAAGAAAACTTCTTTGAACCAAGCGAAGCGAAAGAGAACTGCTCTAGTGAAAAACCAAACAGCTAACTGATAAAATTATCCTTGACATTCAGAAAGTCACCCCAACAATTTCTTAGTTGATAACCAAACCTCCTGCCCAAAAAATAAAAGGGGGAAGAGAAGAAAGAGAAAAAGAGAAAATGAAATACAGATGGGGACCCACCTTTCTATGTTAATCAGCTGACCGATGAGCTGCAGAGGAACAAAGATACAGCTGCCTCTCAGTGACCTAGACTCGTAGTGAGCACAGTCTGGGAACACCTCGGTTCGCCATTCAATTTTAGGCAAGATTTCAAGGTAAAAATTTAAAACTAATATAGAATAAGGAGATTAGGATATAGCCAAAAAAAATAACATAGAAATTTCCTTTTAAACAATTCCTTTTATACCCTAAAAAGATCTGGAAGATTTCTTTGAAAAATGAGGGTCTTAAAAGACTAAACATGGCCAAAATATATGGACTGGTTTGTGTTGAGCTGCTATCTACTATAAATAAAGAAGGTTCAGGATTAAACATGCCAACGTGAACTGTTTGTGCAGTCGATATTTGTGGTGGAAGAAACTTTCGTTAAAACGTAACCTATAGTAACCTTCAAATCCTTTTTCATTCAATTTTTCTGTGCGTACAGAAGGAAATTTTTAGGTGCTGCAAAGGATTGAGCATTTAGCATTTGTATGCCTAATGTTCAAAATAATGCTTTGACAAATCAAGTACAGCAATGATGAGAGGAACATTATTAAATCAAACTTTTGTGCTATTATAATCCGTGATTTTCGTGGCTATCATCTTAATTATCGTTGCCATGACATATGGTAGATGGCCATAAATTATGCCAAGCATTTTTTAAAGTATCTGGAAACACAGCCTTCCACGATCTTGTGATGCTACACACAGCAGATTTTATGCTAAAATATTTATTATTCAAGAAATTGAACATGGATTGTAAAAATGCTACTCTATATTTGTATTTCAGTGCGCGAATTCTGATAGCTACAGGCTGAATGATGGATGTACAGTTTGGAGAAAGAATAATACGAATACATTATATTTCATTAAAACTTTAAGTCAGTACAATTTTTGTGTCATCAGGTAAACCAACCAAATTGAAATGTTGTCGAGTGTTGGGTATAAAATGATTTTCACTCATCTCCATGCAACTTTAATCACTGAAGATATTGTTGCGTG